ACATTGTAATATTCTCTTGATCTATGATACTTCATTTACCAAAAGTTTACATCGGTGTGAAACCTTATCGTTTGAATGTAGGCTATTTTCTACAACTGTTCGCTGTGATGTCTCTATAGTCAATACGATATGCCCAGACAACTTGTTCGTCCCACCCTTAATTTGTTTCACTTTCCTTGTTCTTTCCACAAACCTCCTCCTCTGCAACATGTAATTGTTTCTGTTATTCTATTTTGGGTATTTCTTTAGTTTTACTCCGTGTTTATTATACTTAGGGATATTGGATCTGTAACTTACATGCTATATATATGCATGTATTAGCGCGTGGATCATTCTTTTCAGGGCCTCTTTTAACCTATAAACTAGGTCAGGAACCGGCCACGTACATGTTCAACTCCTAGTTATGTCTCATTTCCCTAATGCCCCACCCCCACAATGATATGTCTGCAGATTCGTACGATATTTTCACCAGTCGAAAAATGAACTGAATTTATTTTTACTGGATATAGACAGCTCTTATAGTTCTGCCTATATATAGTATAGTTATATGTATACATAAAGCAGGCGGGTATTAACAGCCGCGTCGCTGGTAACCCGTTAATGTCCCAAATTTCTGGTAATGAAAGGCATGTAGATTTTGTTTCCTGAGACGTACGCATGAATGTCCACGGTCCAGTTTTTTTTTACATCATGAAGTGGCGACGCGCCTGTACAAGTCAATATCAATTTTACTAAACGAACGTTTAATTACAATTCACAAAGAGTTTTTAAAAGGCTTTTTAAAAATGACATTTCCACGCCGTTAACCACATTGTGTTTCAATCTCACAATCTAACCGCAGTCTAAGTGCGTAGGTGTTTGTTATACGTTATATCACTTTAACTGGCTAAATTTCAAAGGAAACCACAAAACATGTGCTTTAATTGCTGTGTCGCGCCAAATGTCGTTCTTGCTAATAAACCGCCTAAAATAATGAAGTTTATTGATTTTATCATCAATTCTAAAAATTGTCTACAAAGATTGTTTATGAAATCTTCTTGAGTTGTACAGTTTCTTAATATAAGCACTCGAGATTTCGTGCATCTCGTTCGATATAATAGTCTAGGACCTGTATATGAGTTTGTATGCATTTCATTTAGGACAGATAATCTCAACTGTTTTAGGGTAAGTTGATCATGACGGTCAACATGGTAACGCTGCCCGAACCCCAATCCGGGGCGAAACGTCCGAAACTGACCACACCCAAAAACGACGCTTTCGCCATACTGCTATCTACCAAACCATAAAAACTTTGGCTATTCTGAGGTGCTTATATGGTTCAGAGATGGTACTTTTGGGGGTGGTCATTGGTAAGTGTGAAATGCCAAGCACTAATATTTCACAAGAAAATGGCCATGCAATAATCATAGTTAAACGTCAATTTGTGGCTTGCAAATTCAGATAAACAGCAGTGGATTTACATTACCTTTTTCCCTAAATCGTTTTGATAGAAACATAAATGGTACTTATTTAAATATATTATCACTGGTTTGGTGTAAAATAGTTAATATTTTCTGACCGAAATAATAATTTGAAATGTGCCTACCTCCTGCAAATGGACGTATTTGGCCAAGTTCTCCACTTTACTCCGTTGTTTATCGGCGATCTCGTCGACATCCTACAAAAAATGTAAATCATCTCAGACATAATGGTATCAAGAACATTTAAACAAGTTTCAACTTGGTTTCAAGTAGATCATACCTGTTTAACCATCGACAAGGTAAATCCACAACTTTGTCCAAATTCGGCGCCATTTTGTCATTCCATGTCGCTTGTTAACAATTCAGCCTTGTTACTCTTCCATCCAAGCCATTTCCATTCCACTAATAATAAATTTAACCCTTTATAACAGGAGGAAACTACAAAATCTAAACAAAATATAAGAAATACGCCATTTTATCACCATGTAAAATTTTGCTCACGAGTCTTTCAAAACATTCCGTACAAATATCGCGTGACAAAGTAACAGGGACGTGACAGGAGGGGGTGAATTATTTCACGAAGATAGAAGAAGGCTGCGTAAAATAGATTAAAAGCTAAATACAATCATACAAATGTTTGTTTTATTTCTTGTAGCGACAAATGTATACATATTATTATTTATTAATATGAAAAAGTCATACAAATTAAATGTTGATTGTTGGTTTTACCATACTGTGTGGGCTTTCCTTTCATTTTTCAAGTCTCCAACCCCCCCTGTCACGTCCCTGTTGCTAAACCACGCGAGATTTGTACGGAATGTTTTGAAAGACTCGTGAGCAAAATTTTACATGGTGATAAAATGGCGTATTTCTTATATTTTGTTTAGATTTTTTAGTTTCCTCCTGTTATAAAGGGTTAAATTTATTATTAATGGAATGGAAATGGCTTGGATGGAAGAGTAACAAGGCTGAATTGTTAACAAGCGACATGGGATGACAAAATGGCGCCGAATTTGGACAAAGTTGTGGATTTACCTTGTCGATGGTTAAACAGGTATGATCTACTTGAAACCAAGTTGAAACTTATTTAAAATGTTCTTGATACCATTATGTCTGAGATGATTTACATTTTTGTAGGATGTCGACGAGATCGCCGATAAACAGCGGAGTAAAGTGGAGAACTTGGCCAAATACGTCCATTTGCAGGAGGTAGGCACATTTCAAATTATTATTTCGGTCAGAAAATATTAACTATTTACACCAAACCAGTGATAATATATTTAAATAAGTACCATTTATGTTTCTATCAAAAAGATTTAGGGAAAAAGGTAATGTAAGTCCACTGCTGTTTATCTGAATTTGTAAGCCACAAATTGACGTTTAACTATGATTATTGCATGGCCATTTTCTTGTGAAATATTAGTGCTTGGCATTTCACACTTACCAATGACCACCCCCAAAAGTACCATCTCTGAACCATATAAGCACCACAGAATAGCCAAAGCTTTTATGGTTTGGTAGATAGCAGTATGGCGAAAGCGTCGTTTTTGGGTGTGGTCAGTTTCGGACGTTTCGCCCCGGATTGGGGTTCGGGCAGCGTTACCATGTTGACCGTCATGGTCAACTTACCCTAAAACAGTTGAGATTATCTGTCCTAAATGAAATGCATACAAACTCATATACAGGTCCTAGACTATAACGTATAATAGATGGAATTTTCGAAAATTGTGTGTATATCATTTTCGATATATATATATATATATATATATATATATATATATATATATATATATATATATATATATATATATATATATATATATATATATATATGCGATTCTGACTAACATTTTTTATCGGATTCGTATTTGCTTATTTTTTATCCATTTGGCATGAAGAAGATATCATTCAACAGCTAAAAGCATGATCTTTCCGAATGTGGTAAAATCTCGTTCATACGCAGAGTAATTCGGATACAATAGCGCGCTGAAGTTCGATTACCTTTTTTTTATACACCTTGTATAGGATATGTATATATATATATATATATATATATATATATATATATATATATAAGTAAATCACGAACCCTTCTTCCAAATTCGATATCATTTCAATATAAGTAAATCACAAAACGAACTTTTTTAAGACTTTATTCTTATCCTACGTTTCGGGGCATGCCCCTTTATCAAGGATAAATAACAGAGTTTGATGTACATGCTTTTATATCCTATTCAATTCATTAACATAAATTACCCAAAATCCCTTACATTTAATCCCTTAGGTATAAACGTGTCCAAATTATATGCCCAAAATGCCTCTCTTTGCGTAGGATCATTCATATTTTTTTTTGTCAATAATAATAACCCTGAGATTTGCCAAGCCCTCATAGCCCCATATATATATATATATATATATATATATATATATATATATATATATATATATATATATATATATATATATATATATATACAGGGTGTATCAAAATAAACGCAACCCATCTTTTGTGCTTAATAACTTTCGAAATACTATTTCTAGTTAAACGCTTTTAGGCTTACTTCAAAGCCTGTTCTTTTCTCTTTCAAACAAACTATTATTCTTGTCTCCAATGCTAGTAATAATTGCACAGGAAAAGATTTAGTAAAACCTATCATTTTTAGTTGCTGTTTAATTATGCAAGTTTACTATGTTATTGTTTAGTCTGTTTAAATGTTAGAATTTTCTTCTTTAAACTTTAATGCTGTCGTCACTACATCTGGAAAACCACGTAAGAACAAATTAAAAGTATTTTAAAAGAGACCAGGTTGTTTGAAAATCCTAAACGAATGCTAAAATCGTCAAAACATTCTGGTGTCTGAGCCAGAGTGTCATCGAATTGCGATGTAATGTAAACAGAAATTATAGCAAGTTGATGTCAGTCAGCTTAGATGGTCCAAGCCAAAATTATATCGCATTTGAAGTTTCAAACTGAGCTAAAAATAGTGGAAGAAAAGCCGTAATTATACTTATTGTTACAATCCATTTAATAAAATGCAACATTTTTGTTTTAATGAAAAAATCAGTTATTTTCATGAGAACGATTTGTTATTCCATCTCAATTTTTTTTAATCTCCAATCGCAATAACGTAAAGTATTATTTACACTGTAAATTCTAAGGGGTAGAATGTACCCCAAAATGGGGTAAATTTTACCCACGTTAGATGTGTAAGAGTGTTTGGAGTAATTTTTACTCCATTAATCTGGAGTAATTATTTTTATACCTGATAAAAGTTACCCCAATAATGGAGCAACTGTCCAGTTACCCATCGCCAAGGGTAAAAAAATGCAATAGGTGCGAAAATTTCCCCCATGAATGGGGCCAATGAAACATATCCAAAATGGCCGATTCTGAAATTCAAATATACTAGTTCTATAATATAAACCCGAAGGCATGGCCATGGATTCGGATTCGATTAGAGACTGCTTTATATAGGCTAATGACGCATTAAGTTTTCCCTAGGCTTACTCGGAAGAGAAGACAGATCAACAGACATTAATTTGCAAAGTTCTCATACAGTTTTCGTCCACTGAAATTATACCAAACTTTAATCGATATGTCTTTGCCTTTGGCCTATTACCAATTGCCCTAAAATTTTTGTCATTTTGCTATTTATACATTTGATGTTTTTTGTCGAGCTGACAGCCAAACTATACTGGCAAACAAACACACAAATTGTCAAATATCCTGGCATGGGAGGAGACGGGGAAATACTTCTATATATATAAGGTGAAGTCCGGCAGAGCAAAAAAAAAACCCGCCAGTTTCAGTGTCAGTGATGGAGAATGCAATGTCGATGCTTCCTCCACGACCACGTATAATATTTTTTAAATGTATTGAAACAACCATGTATACCACTGCAGAGACAGTGAAAATTAGGACTCATTCCGATGGCATCTTGCAATATGATTTAAAAATTTACTCATGCTGTCTGCTGCGAACACTCCACACATACTGGATTGCCAAGGTGATTTGTAAATGATTTTGTGCAGAGCTCAAAATATCAAGACGAATGCGACTGGATGCTAGCCAATCAAGATGCTCATTTCAAATCACATGGTCATTTCGGCCAATGAGAGGTGGCGAAATATTGGCGCGAAAAAAATCTGCTCCTGTGCTTCGGGTCGTTTCGTGGTTAAAACAGTTGTCGTTTTTTTAGTGCTTTGAGCCGGAGTTTTGGCAGTTTCTACGGATATTTTTTCTTTAAATATGTAAGTAAACTATAGAAAGAACTTTACTCATTAACTTGTTGTGTAATTTGGAAATTGTGGCCAAGTTTTAATGATTTATTTTACGTTTTTCTTGAATCCTGTTGTTGTGATTTTATACTATTTTTGCCATATTTCTGTCGTATTTCTGAGTCCTTTTTATATCTTTTTGCTGCCTTTGCCTGTAGGTCAGGTGGACGTGGGCGGAAGGAGTCAGATTTATAAACTTCTTGCATAATTTTATTAAAGGCTGCTGTTTTAATCACCCGTTTTATGTCTTTTACAGTTTTAATAATCCGACCGTGATATCAGCCCTCGGCCTCACTCAATGATTTTTTCTCGTGTGCATTTATTGTTTGTATGAACCATCACCAAAATTGATTTCTATTTGTTGTATTTTCTAGCACAGGATGGAAAACCTTTTCAGTGCAGGTTTACAAGAAAGCGTATTAATAGCTGTCTTGGAAGATCAAAAGGACAAAAGGCAAGTTGTCGTTTTATGTCATATACTCGTTCCGAGACACAGAATAGGAAGTTATACCAGAAGCGTAACTCTAGTCGTTTCCCTTATTGTTTGACGTCCACGAAAATTTTAACTTGCTCACGTCAGGCCACGCCATCCTGGCTAGTACAGCCGGAAGTTTTTATCAGGATTTGGCAGTGAACTCTATATATATATATATATATATATATATATCTGGAACGATAACATTCAGTCATTTGATTGTGAAAACAATGAAGCCTCGATACCAGTCTTTCACGCGGATTGGACGTCAGTCTCAGTCCCTCAAACGTCAGGTTTACGCGGATTGGACGTCAGTTTCATTCCCCCTCTTGCAACCCGTTGCACGGCCAGTATAAATTTGAACGCAATCACGAAAAAAAAATTAAAAACATGGCCAACTCAATGCAATACATTGTAGGAGCAAACAGTTTTTCTCCTAAAATTTACTGCATTGAGTTCGCTGTCGGAAAAAAGTCCAGGAAAACTTCCCCGTCTGGAGAAAAGAATCACTTTTTCAAATATATTGTGTCGTACTGTCGTTCTGGATGCACAAGGAAAGAGATATTCTTGCGAGAAAATTTCCGATTTCACAGGTAGGTAAATTGACTTGCAACTGTGACTTTGCCGTTGCCATTTTTCGCGATTGTTTGAATTGTTTTTTAGTTTACCAGTTTTATAGTTTTTAGTCAATACACTGGTACGTTATTTTTTAAAGAATTTATTGTGTGATCGGAATTTGCCTGCCAGCAAAATGTAAAATGAATATGTACGTGTGTTTGAATATAAATTAGACCATATGGGCTTAGTAAAAAATTATTTTAATAACTCCATCTTCAGGTTAAAAGTGAATAAAGATATAAAAACTGTGATAAAAGCTTTCAAAACAATTACAAATTTTATATGAAAGTGATTTTTAATACTGTAAGAAAGTTCTTGAACAGTTGATGACGAAGACAATGACGAATACTTATGTCGTGATTTTTTTGTCGGCTTCACTTTTCGCTCGCTGTTATCATTCCAGATATATATATATATATATATATATATATATATATATATATATATATATATATATATAGAGAG